TATTTTAATTTCTATGTTAGGTTTTTAGTACTCAAACATTTAATTTTTAGGGTCCAATCAATACGTATTTTAATAAATTGTTCCTTAGAACACATGCTAAGAAAGACTTTCAGAATGCTAAAATAAATGTTAATTAAAGTAATACTATATATTTAAATAACATAATTGTTCTTCAGATTTAACTAAATCTTTATTTTTACACTCAAATCATTGTTATATTGGATACCTTTTGTTGTAAAGGTGAGTCTGTAACATCATTTTCCCCTCATATTGCCCCAGAGTTGCCTATTGAATTGTTTCTTGGTATGCAATGCTCTTGGGCTTTATTCTGTCAATTATTTCTCTAAAGTACAAAACTTCAAAGAATAGACAAAGAGACATAATAAAATATTTTAATACTTGAGAGAATGTAATAAAACATCATGGAATAGCATTATAAAATGTTTTAGTATCTGATTGTGCATGTATGTCTGCTCTAATTTTCTTAACTTTTTGGAATTATATTACATGTGTTTATTCATTCATTAGTAACTAACATCTTTACAATACCACCTTTTTCTTCATGTACACATCACCCAATTCATCAAGGTATCCTCCTAGTAGTATGAAAATGTACTACATTCCATAACAACATGTCTCTTTTGACTTGCTTAACATTTTATATTTGATATAGGGAAAATTTTTATTCTAACTAGTTTCTTTTTCAGAAGTATAGGAAAGCTCCTTGTTTAATAAATGGTCCATTTATTGAACTTCTTAGTATTAATTGCTTTTTGTCTTCTTGAAATGTTGTTATCTTTTCCGTCCCAATATTTATACCTATCTATTGATATTTACCTTTCTTATTGTATTAGTCAATATTTCCAATACTACTTATGACACTTAACTCCTGTGGAGTTTGGCTGGCTTTAAAAAATTTGAGACTTCACCCAAAGATGCCCACAATTTTTTTTTTTTTTTTTTTTTGCAGTTTTTGGCCAGGGCTGAGTTTGAACTCACTACCTCTGGTATATGGGGCCGGCACCCTACTCCTTGAGCCATATGTGCTGCCCCACAATATTTTTGTATATGAATGTAATACATAAATTGAGATATGTATATTTATTCATCTTTTGCAGTAGAGAAATTCCATAGCTCTTATCAGATTCTCAAAAGATTACATAGCCTCTAAGATTAAAAACCTCTGCTCTCATGTTTTCCTCATAAGTGTGGTATGGGCTATTATGTTTACATAGATGTTAAGATTGTATTTAAAAAATAATCTCCTTTTCCTGTTTGACCAGAACTTTGATATTTTTAAAAATCAACAATTAACATAGAATTATATAAAATACATTTTGGGGATCTACTGAGATTAACATTTTTTAAATTGAATTGTTGATAGGATGAATCCTGCCTTAACATTAATTAACTGTATGCCATATATCCACTCTTGAAGTAAATCTACTTTATGATAATATATTAGTGAGATATATAATTTGGATTCACGTTGCTAAAATTCACGTTTATTTATGGTTTTTGCATCTCTACTTACAAGTGAGATTAATCCACAAGGATTTATACATGTGTTAATACTTTCAATTTTAGAATAAGACTTTTTTGTCATAATTCTGGAACATTGTTCTCTTCATTCTGAAGAGGTTTAAATGAACCAATATCTATCTGTTCCTTAAAGATTTGAAACAACTAATTCACACAACTATGCTGGATCAGTACCATTTTTGCTCTACACTTTTAAAGATTTCTTTCACTTGTATTTTTATATTTTTGATTCAAGGTTGGATCTTTTATTTTACCAGAAAAACAACCATTTCAAAACTTTTAATATATTTAATAATTTGCCTATTAAACTAATTATGTATAGGGATATTCAGAGCATTCCCTTCTACTTAAAAATTTTTCCTTCTGCATCTGGGGCTAATTTCCATTTGTTATTCATAATATTTTTATTTGTGTTTTTTAAATTAGTAGGGAAAGTTACAAAAGTATCAAACCTTTAAAAATGGTTTTTAATTTTCAGATGATTGTGGATTTGCATTCACTTATAAGAAATAATATGGAGTGATCCGATGTAGTCTTTACCTAATTTCTCCCAAGGATAACATCATGAAAGACCATAGTACTGTATCACAACCAGGATGTTGACATTAATACAGTCCAGTTGTAGAACATTCCATTCTATGAAAAGCCCTCATGTTGGTCTTTTATAGTGTTATCCACTCATCCATGTCCTCTCCTTAATCATTGGCAACCACTAATTTGTTTCTCATTTCTATAAACAGGGATATTCTATGAGTAGAATAATATGCATCTGTTTTTTTATCCCTTAACATAATTCTCTGGAAATTCATTCAGGTTGTCACGTGTGTCAATGGGTTATCCTTTTTTATTGGTGCTTACATCAGGGTACAGATGAACCATAATTTGTTTAGTCATTAATCTATTGAAAAACATTAGGGTTTTTACCAGTTTGGAGCTATCTGAGCACAGCAACTAAAAACATTATGTTTTTGTGTGAACATAGGGAAAACATTTTCCTGGGAAAATATTCAGAACTACAATTGCTGGATCATATGGTAACTGCCTGCTTAGTTTTTTAAAGAACTGCCAAACTGTTTTCTAGAGTAGCTATATACTTTACATTTCTGTCAGCAATGATTATTACTCTAATCACCAGCACTTGGTGTTGTCATTAATTTTTCTTTTATTTATTCTTTAATAATATGTATGTAATGATATATCATAGTAGTCTTAATAAGCATGTAAATTAATACATTTCCTTAATAATGAATGATAGTGAAAACTTTTTATTTTTTGTTTTTTTGTGGTTTTTAGGGGTACTTTTTATTTGTTTTGTTTTCTTGTAACCATTTTCCTGTCTGGTCACTTAACAGAATTGCTCCTTGTTTTCAAAATTTAAAAAAAAAGCCTTTATTAATATAAAGTCATATGTTTGTGTAGTTCTGTTAAAATTTGCTTTGTACTTGGGGTTCTTTTGGTTCAAAAACTCATGTCTTTCATTAGCTCAGAGATACTTATTCTTTCCCTGGCACTTCTTTGAATATTTTTCCATTCCCTATCTTTTGTTCTTTCATTCTGGTCTGCCCATTGAATTGATTTTATACTTGTGTTTTACTCTATTATTCTCATATTTTTAATCCTTTTGTAACTTTTCCTAGTAATTTAATATAATTTCTCAAATTCATATTTTAGTTAACAAATTCAGTTCTAGCATTGTTCTCCATGGCCTTTTAATTCAAAAACCATAGCTACCCTTACCCCAGGAGGTCTTTTCTGCTCTAAGGCTATTATTTTTCATGACTACTTACTCAATATTTCATAGTTATTTGTTGTGAGTAACTAATGAAGACAATGCAATGTCTCTCCACTTTCTTTCAGACAATTTTTTGAGAAGGAAGACAACTGCTCTTAGGCCTTGGATTCATCTCATTAATCTAAACTGGTATGCTTTCAAATCGCCCATGATTTTGTTTATTTATTATGAATGACAGAGGGTTGGTTTGTCTTGCAAAGACAATAGGAGAGTTTCTAGTTGAGATTCTGTTTCTGGCATCATTTGTCTTTTTATCAATTTTTTTTTTAAACTTTTATTTACTTCTCTAAAGTTAAGCCCAAAACTGTAGACCTGGCTTTAGTTAATTTTTAGTTCTTTCAAGAAATCTTAGATCAGTTTTATTATAATTCTATTCTAAGAATAATTTTCTTTTCTTAGATGTTCTGGAGTTTTAAATATGACCTTGAAATTCAAATTATTCACCAAGACCTGCTTAATATTTAGCATCTTTTCAATAAATTTGCAACTGGAAAATGGATTGTGAGTGAGGATTGATAGTGATGATGAATATACCCCTAGTCTTCTAGGCATACAGCTCTTAATCCCACCCTATACCACCCAGTCTGAAAACAATGGCAGAGTGATCTTTCTACATTATCAGTCTGCTGCTAAATATGCAGGTGAATCTCCTCATCTGTAACATAAAGTCCATTAATCTGAAAGAAAAATAAAATAATATCCTTAGTATGGTTAAAAGTCTTTTTATATAACATGTTAAAAACATTGACTACATCCTTGTTTGTCATCTACTTCATGTCAGTTCTGCTTTTTACTGCTCCTAATAATGTTGGTGTTTTTTATTTTGTTTTTAATGACAGTTTCCTAACTACATCCCATTCCTTTTTATTTATCCGAGCCTCTCAATCCATTTCACTTTCCAGCTTCATCTCACAATTTCTCCATTAGAATGCCATATCCTAAATTACCAATATAGTAAGAAAAAAAGAGCATTTTGATAACTGCAAATTAGAAACCAATGGTACAAAATTGGGATCCAGTTGAACATAGATAATCTCCTAAACATCTTGATATTAATGATCGTTCTCTAAGTTATCTTCTCTTCTGTCTATACTGTGACTTTGCATAAATTCTGATTCTAATTCTCTTAGGTATCAATGAGTCCTCAAATAAGGCAGAACAGTCCAATAAATGTGGTTTAGTAGAAATCAGAAGGACTTTGGAATACAAAAGATGTGGTTTAGAGTCAAGATCTGGGACATAATTGCAATTCCTAAAATTCTCTGAGGTCAGATGGATGTGTAAACTGTCCTTAACATGCTAGCCCCTCACTTTCCTCTCAAATTCTAGCAAGGCAAGAAAAATTTATGAAGAGTAGAAAAATTATTATTTGCATTATTCCACAAATGTTTTTGGTACTCCCTTTTAAACACTCATGGTTCTGAATTTGCATGGCCTTTCTTTACAGGTTGACTTGTAAATAGGAAAATATCAACTCCTCCAGAAGCTGATTCTGGCTCATTTCAAAGCTTAGGCTCTGACCATTGTGTCTTTGTTTTTAGATAACATCAGGCCCTTCCTCCTTCAGCTGAGATCCTGACCCTACTATCTTCCTGACCTTAAAAAAGAATGTGAAAAGCAAATCCAGAGTGTAAACTCCTCCAATCAAGAAGCTCCACATGACCACAGTTGGGGATTTTTGCCTACACCTATGGCTACAGGAAACTGGACAAGAGTGAGTGAATTTATTCTCATGAGCTTCTCCTCCTTACCTACCGAAATACAGTCGTTACTCTTCCTCACCTTTCTAATCATTTACCTGGTCACTCTGATGGGAAATAGCCTCATTATTCTGGTTACCCTGGCTGACACCACACTGCACAGTCCCATGTACTTCTTCCTCAGAAACTTGTCCTTCTTGGAGATTGGCTTCAACCTAGTCATTGTGCCCAAAATGCTGGGGACCCTGCTTGCACGAGACACAACCATCTCCTTCCTTGGATGTGCCACTCAGATGTATTTCTTCTTCTTCTTTGGGGTGGCTGAATGCTTCCTGCTGGCAACCATGGCTTATGACCGCTATGTGGCCATCTGCAGTCCCTTGCACTACCCAGTCATCATGAACCAAAGGACACGTATCAAACTGGCTGTTGCCTCCTGGTTTCCTGGCTTTCCTGTAGCTACTGTGCAGGCCACCTGGCTCTTCAGCTTTCCATTCTGTGGCACCAACAAGGTGAACCACTTCTTCTGTGACAGCCCACCGGTGTTGAGGCTGGTCTGTGCAGACACAGCACTGTTTGAGATCTATGCCATAGTGGGAACAGTTCTGTTCGTCATGACACCTTGTTTGCTGATCTTATGTTCCTACACTCGCATTGCTGCTGCCATCCTCAGGATTCCATCAGCTAAAGGGAAACACAAAGCCTTCTCTACATGCTCCTCCCACCTCCTTGTTGTCTCCCTTTTCTATGGATCTTTAAGCCTCACATATTTTCGGCCAAAATCCAATAATTCCCCTGAGAGCAAGAAGTTGCTATCCTTGTCCTACACTGTTGTGACTCCCATGTTGAACCCCATTATCTATAGTCTGAGGAACAATGAGGTGAAGAATGCCCTCAGCAGGACCATCCACAAGGCCCTCACCCACAGGAAGAGTATCCCGTAGACATTAAGAAGTAAGACTAAATTCTGTTGAATTACCAACAATCAATCTTGCCTTTGAGATTCTTATTTTCATACCTCTATTGAGATGAAATTCAGTTGCTGAAATGGCTACTGAAAAGCTCAGTGAAGAGAAAAGAGTAAGAAATTAAGTGACACCTCTGCCTGCCCATTGTAGACTTACATGTTTTTCTTATTGTGTATTTGCCGATATTCACATTCCTGTGTAACATACATTTCATGAGTAATTTTACATGGGAAACACAAAGTAAAAGTGTGCAAAACACATTAAAATCATTTTGTCATTTCTTTGGGGGAAATCAGATTGTTCACTCATCAGGTAGAAAATCCTATGATCCCTCCCAATGCATAACTCCCCTCACTGTCCTATTTCAGTTAATCTGCTCTTGAAGTTGTGCTAGTTCTTTTAAACTTATTGGTATGAAGTAGGCAGTGTCATAAAGCAGATCAATATTTCCCATGTGTTTCACTTCATAACTCCAGTAATCATTTCCTTCTTTACTAGATTTTTCCTAGGAAGAATGACCTGAGCTTACGTATGCTCAGATCCTATATTCAGGTTCCAATACTTTGTTGAAGTAATATAAACTTTAGTCATGATACTGCTTTCATTAAAACTTAAAATAAATCCCAGTCAACTTTTCCTTAACCACAAAAAGATTTTTCATTCTTTTTAGAACTTCACAGTACTTTACTTCATAGACATACCATCACTTATTTAATTGGTCTTTTATAACTGCTAATCATGCTATAAAAATACACATATACACATGCCTTCTCATATTTTTTCTAGCATATCTAACATACATATAGAAATTGGATTTCTTGAGCAATGGGTAAATATTAATACATATGTAATGTTGATATATATTGGCAAACTTCCCTCCAAAGGGATTGCATGATTTTACATTCTGACCAGAAATGTCTAAGTATGCTTTTCTCTATAACCTCAACAATAACATTTCATCATGAAACATCTGGAATTTTTCTTATTTAATTTTTTGAAAACTCAAAGACATTTAAATTTAGATAAATAAATTTTGAAGAATAAAAATAAATATAAGTAAATCAAAGGAAAGATGTACTTTTCTTTTCTTTCTTTTTTTTTTTTTCTTGAAGGCAGAATATCAAGCTGTTGTCCTGGGTAGAGTGCCGTGGCGTCACAGCTCATAGCAACCTCAAACTCTTGGGCTTAAATGATTCTCTTGCCTTAGCCTCCCAAGTAGCTGGTACTACAGGTGCCTGCCACAACGCCTAGCTATTTTTTTTTTTTTTTGATTATGTCATTGTTTAGCAGACCTGGACTAGATTCGAACCCACCAGCTCTGGTGTATGTGGCTGGCACCCTAACTGCTGAGGCACCAAGCCAAGATGTACATGTCATTCAAACTTCTGAGTTCATGATTTAGATGATTAGGAGTTGGTGATGTCTTGGCATTCTATTTTCTATTCTTGAAGCTTCCTTTCATCTTTGTTTTTTTCCAAATCCATCTCATCTCTTAAGGTCCCACTGTGATTCCTCAAGCAACATAAATTATTCTTTCCTGTACACATCCACTTCAAGACTATCAATAGATAAATTAAATTTTATATATACTATTCTGCACTTATTTTCACGTTTGCTTTCCTCCCACCCATATGTAACTCCTGTAACTCTTTGAAAATAAGAATTAACATAGGTATCCCTGAAAATTTTATGTTCTATAAAACTCTGTACTCAAAATATTATAGGGAAATAGGTTTAGGGTTAAACTTAGATTCAAAATAATGTAGAACCTTCACAGTTAGCCACCTCTCTACACTGACTACCTCTTTAAGTTAACCTAATTTTCATAGGCTGGAAATGTACCAGATGTACATATAAGTACTGTAAACCTACTTTCTTATGTGGACCACCTGCGTATGTTGACCAATTTTTTACAGTCCCTTGGGTGGTCAACCTGCAGAGGTTCTACTGTATTAAAGAGAAGTCCTTAATTGAGTAGGAAGAGTTGAGCAGGAATGGAGAAGAAACTAAGCAAAGGTATAATTTCAAGCAAAATCCCAGACTGAGCCTGACCCAGAAAGGAAGCCCAGAGCATAAACAAACCTACAGTCTGTTTGCATCAACTCATAGGAAATAGGCTTTTGTACTCCAGCTCCAGGCAAACATTGGCTCTTGTGGACCCTAGGGTAGGGAAGAGAGAAAAATAAAACTCCCAACCATCTCTGTCTCCTGGAAGGGTCCTCAGTGCCCAAGGACAATCTTCTGAAGATTTCCTATTCAAGCTGTTACAGAGAAAGTTTACCAGTAAGGCTTGTGCTAAGAGTTCTTACCACACACACACACACAGAAATTTTTTAAAGTGATAGGTATGTGTATTACCCTGATAATTTTTTTTAGAGTTTGCAGAAGCTTGCACAGAGCTGTTGAAAGTGATGTAAAGTGACTGAGGAGGAACTACAAGTGTCTACCGCAGACTTCCCTTCAGAAGCGCTTTTAAAATGTTTGAGTCCAGAAAAATCCACAAAGCTTTTCGCTAGAACCTTAAAAAATTACTACTGGAACTTTAATTCCAGAAAAGAGTTCAATGTGTGGTGACCTCTCCAACTTCAACATTCACCAGTGTGAGTCACTGATACATTTATTTACCTCCAGATTTTTCCATGAGTAATGTGAACCAAGCACAAATACCTATATTCAAACTCATCTCTCAAAGCTATGCACTGACTATTAGAAAGAATAGTTTAACACATAAATAAAAATAAATATTCTATTTAATTCATAATTTTCAAGGCATCTATTTTTCACAAAAGTCTCAAACCACACATCATTACATAGGGCAGTGATAATTCCTTTATCTCCCACTTTTATAGGGCCCCCTTTGAGATTGCTGGAACTGAGAAAGTAGCTCATGGTAACTAACCTCCTAAAGGCTTTTCTCTTGGCTATCCAAAAACATGGCTGAAGACTTAAGGTTGCTGCCATAATTATTTTATAAAATTATTATCCTATTGTCTCATGCTGATAGTTTATGCCCAGGGAGAGAGGGAAAGGTGGTGCCATTTTTGAAGCTACATCATTTTATTCTAGTTACATATTCATCATAGTTGTAATCTCACATTTTTATATGATTCTTTGGTGTTGTCTTCAAACACGACCTGTATGTCCTATGGAGCCATGGACTATGTCTAATAAATTTATTATTAAACACTTAGTGCTTGTTTATATGTTAGGCATCAAGTTAACATTTGTTAAATGAACAAATATTCTAAGAGGATCTTAGGCATTTGTTGATTTTTCATTATAGCCTGTGTTTATGGTTGCTCTTCCTCCAAGTCCTAGAGAATAGGACTAGAGATGAGAGGAAGAATGGCAGAGGGAAGTCAGGTGGCCGTATCCACCCTCACACTATCCCTGGTTGTATCTATGAAAGCATGGCGGCCACGTAAGCATGGGGGCATGACCCAAAAAAAGGGGGGGTCATCAGAGAAAACAATAAATAGCTCTTATTTTTTATTCATTGGGTCACTTCTCTATTATCACTTTTTTTCTTTATTTTGGAATATGAAGAGTTTCCATAGAAGAGAGTGCAAAATCAATGTGCTATTCTAATCAATCAAAATGGAAATTTTTAAGTTACATAGATAGGAGTGAGACAGAAGCTCAGTATATTAAATATGGCTTGTGGAAAAAAATTCAAGCACATAAGTGCAGATACCACACTAGAGACCAAGCAAAGAATAATGAACAAGTCAGATGTCACTACTTCTTTCAGTAGGAAACATACAATCAAATGTCTCTTTCAGAAATACTGTGAGAAATGTCCATTTAAGTCTTTAGATGAAGCCCTTATTATTAGGGGAAATTCTATCCCATAGAATTCTATCCATAGCAGTGAATTCGTCTCACTCTCTCAACTTTACTCCTATTCCAGAAGGGTTAGGATGTTGGGATTGTTAGTCAAACTTTTCTCTCCTTGTCTTAACCTGGATTAATAACCTCCCCAATCAAGGGCATCCCTAACTACTTCTAGCTTTTATTAATATCCTCCACTTGATTTAGACAGTAATTAATGGGTTCTCTTCCTCTTGTTTGAAAACATTTTCTGAGTCCAGTTCAGAAATACTCCTGAGAACCAGCCCAAAGGGCATCAAAAGTGAGAGGAAATGGAAAATAACACTGCTGTGCTCCCCTAATCTCTCTCAGGTACACACCTTGGAGGATAGGTAGAATACCGAGTTTTTTCCCTTTGCACTTATAACCTCACATATGTAGGAAAAGATGGAGCTGCAATAAAGCCCTTCCTCCAACTATAAGAATGCAGAATCCTCATGACTTTTTGGACTCCGGGAACTCCCTCGAACTTAGACCTTTCAGAAAGTGTATCTATGACTTCACTGGAGGAAAAGGAGGCATTGTGGGAATCACTTCTCTACAGTAAACAGCAGGGAATGAAATAGTCCTGAGACCCAACCTGGAACCCTCTAGAGAGATCAGCACAGGCCCAGCACAGAACTACTCTGGAGTGATGACTACTGCACAGCTCAGAGCTCCTTTACAGGGGCTGATCCAGTCATAGCCCAAGATTCAGCTAGATGACTGATACAGCCCTGGGTCAAAGATTCTCTGAGAATATGATAAAGTAACATTCAGAGTTCACCAACAATGTGGACTGAGGCAAGGACAGACCAGAATGTCTTTGGAATGCCTCATATGGACACATCCCAGGGCTTCTCTAGATTAACTTGTACAGACAAAGCCATAATTTAGGACTCTTTTGGATTGGAGTCAATCACAGCAATGGTTCAAGGCTGCCCTAAAGTGACTGACACAGACCAGGGCTTCTGGAATTTATACAGACAGGTCCCATTCGCAGGAGGTGAGTAAAGGGTGAGAGGACGGGACACAGACTAGAAACTTCTTAGAAATGCATTCGCTTTGACACATTTGTGAGGGACAAGAAAAGAGATCAGGGTCTCAGGTAAAGAACTTGGAGATTTATAGGACTTGACAAATCAGAGAAACTGACAAGGATAGGGAACAATAGTAAGCTCACTATTGTGCTT